CAATGCTCCCCACCTCCTCTACCCACTTAAAGCAGAGCCCCACTTTGGGGCCCATTCCCTTAAAAGAGAGGGTGTTTCTGAATATACCTTTCTAGGTCTACCTGCCTGGCAATGCCCTTAAACATGGACTTGTGCTAATAGTTCTGCCATTCTTTTGGCTGCATTAATGATCCATAGTTAGATACGTATGGATGCATTAAAAGCAATGCTAGGGGGAAAAAAGGAAGACTTGACCGTTTTTTCAGTACCTGTGCAGAGCCAGGGACTTTAGACATTTTGTCTAAATCTCACAAAAATAATTTTTTAAAAATATTTCTTCATTGTCTACTACATAGCAAGACAGTATAGGGTCACATCTAAAGCCAGATCTCCTCAGCCTGGATCTAGGCTGTGCGATTCTGGGCAAGTTACCTAACGTCTTAATGCCTCAGTGTACTGCACAGCAAAATAGGAATAATAGGACCTACCTCATGGGATTTTAGTGAGGATTAGCAAATGTGCCTGTGCGTGTCTCCCCATGTTTGCTGCTGTTATTACTATCTACAGTGGGTGTACTTTATGGGGCAGTATATTGTTTCCATTTTACAAATAAGAACAGAGAGGCTAAACGGAGGTATATAACTTGCCAGGGACACACAGCTTGTGCGGGGCAGGGTTATATTTGGAAGATGGGTATATGCAGCTCCTAAGAGTTTCCCGTGTTACACCAAAGCCAGAACACATTTCTTCTACTGAGTTTCTGTCGCTCCAAGAGATTGCAGACATGCACATATACAGGGCCAACCAGCAGCATTTACTGATTGAAGTAAATATTACTGAAAATATTTGGCCTGACAACTAATAAACCATGTGAAATGCGAGATGGTTCAGGAAGGCAGCTGGAATGGCCAGGAAAGGTGAGTCAAGCGTCCTTTGGGTTCCTGGAAGTAAGGAGAGTTTCCCAGGAGAACAAAGGGTTAGTCATAGGAAACAGTCAGTGATAGGAGGGGGGGGTAGAGGGAAAAAAAGGGGTGGGGAGGAATTTCAGTGGAAGCAAGAAGCTGGTATTCAGGATGAAGAAGAGAAAAGAATGGCCAGGACTGCATGTTTTTGGGAGAATGCACATTTGGATGATAGGGCAGAGATGGGAACCTGGGAAAGCCAGCCAAAGGGATGGGAACTGCGAGGGCAGCCATGGGGATGCCAGGAGAAGAGAAAGCAGGGGGCCCTAGATGCTTTGGAATGCCAACTTCCTTTCACACTTTTCCTTTCAGCTGTAAACTAAACTAAGGGCCTCAGGAGTAAACAAAAAAGGGTGGAAAGAGCTGGTGTCTGCCAGTCCTACTCCTGTGAGAAAGCACTGAGCAGTACGGCAAGATCACAAGTAGGCACAGTGACAGGGAAGGAAGCAGTCTCCCTGATGACCAGAGAGCCAGGAACAGGGCTCCATCCCAGAATCCTGGGATCATGACCACAGCCGAAGGTAGAGCCTTTAACCCATTGAGCCACCCAGGCACCCTTGGAGTCTTTTTCTGAACGTTACCCTTGGCTCTCTCAGACCTAGGTACCAGACTCAGGAAATCCTGGAGGCAAAGGAGGGAAGAAGGATTAACCCTGGGGGAATAAAAAACAGCGTAAGTGTCCATTGAAGGAAAGGCTCAGGGCGCCCGGTGGCTCAGTGGGTTAAGCCTCTGCCTTCCGCACAGGTCGTGATCTCAGGGTCTTGGGATTGAGCCCTGAGTCAGGCTCTCTGCTCAGTGGGGAGCCTGCTTCCCACCCCCACCCCCCATTGCCTCTCTGCCTACCTGTGATCTCTGTCAAATAAATAAGTAAAATCTTAAAAAAAAAAAAAAAGGAAGACTCGTGTACAAAAATTCAAAGTTAACTACGGAAGAGTATTCTCATTACATACAGCACATTGTTTGCTTTAGCGTTCCCACTCAGGATATAGTGTAACTTTTATTTTTAACAGCAAGTTAATTATAAAAACAAATATGGTCTAATAAATTAAATTCCACACAAAGTCATTATAAACATATCTTTGGAGTTAAGTGAGGTTCATCTATTATTTTTCCCCCCTTGGAGTGGAATACAGTGGCTTAAAAATTCTTACCACCAAGTCAAATTCAGCCCTGGGCATGCTTCGAAGACTCAGCTACTGACCAAGAACAAGGTAACCCGTGTTTTCCGGGGTCGCAAACTGTGTCTCCAGAAGGGAAAGGGGGAAGAGGGCAAGCGAGGACCTCCAGTATCTGCGAGGGCTATCAGGACGTCCTGCTAATAAACGACTTTTTCACTGTCCACACTATAATTGGTTTACAGCCTTTTTTGTTTATTTATCCATAAGAGCTGCTGTTAAATGGCTCGGGAAGGCGCTCGCCTAATGGCTCAGTATCGCTCCTAGGCCTGTGGGAGGCGAGAGGGGCGCAGGCGTCAGCGGGGATTCAGAGCGGAAACGCATTTCACCTGTAATGGATTTGGCGATTTTATGATACCACGAGCTATATCCACAGCAGAAATACAATACACGCTCTTGCTCAATGGAAGGTTGTGCGGGGTGCGCTTTCTAGGGCTATACATTATAATTAGCCAATCCAAAAACCCTTTTGGCTTTGTCCCACCATAATCAATGGCTGTTTGACTCGTTTCCTGGGTCACTTGCTTAGGTAGTGAGCAGCAGACAATGCTAATTGTGAAAGTGAGAACGCACCTCCACGGAACACCTTCTGCACCCCCGCCCCTTCCCCCACGTTTTTGTTCAGTCCCGGGCTCCGGGTTTTTGTTTTTTTGTTGTTTTTGGTTTTTGTTTTTTGTTTTTTTTTTGTTTTGTTTTTTTGTTTTTTTACCAGAGAGCGCGGTAGGCGGATTTGCTTTCTGCTGAGCGCCTCTTTTCTTTCTGCAGGGCCGAGCAAAAATATTAAATGCGAGCAAATGAAGCATCGAAATGGAGACCAATTTACAGAAATGTGCAATTAGACGAGAAGTGCAAAATAAACACTCTGGGTCGGGGGTGGGGGGGAGGCGGGGAGCGAGGGAGGAGGGGGGCAGTCTGCGGACTGAGTCCGGAGTTGCCGAGGGAGGAGGGGAAGAAGGGAAGAGTAGGGGGGAGGAAGGTGGCCGATCTTTGTCCCAAGCGGAGCTCGCCGCCCGCTCATAACCGCGTCTCCAAGTCAACCCGCGGCGACTTGGCAGATTATCTCCGAGGGTCAACACGCTGCGGCCGGGCAACCCCCCTCCGGCCCTGCCTGCTGATCGATGCGGTCACTCGCGGCCCAGCGATAGCGTCTGGTCCTCCGCGGCCGCCGCCAACAATGGATTCATTGACGCGGACGCTCAGAGATTAAGTGCGCGCGTCCCACCGCATTTTTCTCCGCGGCCCCTAGGGCCGCAGGTGGCCCTTTTCCCTGAAGAAATCGCCGGAACTCCCCACACCTAAGCGGCTTCCCTCCGTCGCGAGAGCGGGCACCAAAACGGCCGTGACTGCGCGCGTCGCCGCCCAGGAGCGGGCCACTGGGTGCTTAGCACTCTTCTAAACGCAAATGCTGAGACCGCACCTGCGTCGCACAAGGCAAGGAATCTGCGGAGAAGTCCAAATTCCCAACTGGTTTTTGGTTTTTAATAAAAAAGAGTATTTCAGAGTAGCGCACTCAAACCGTATGCATTTAATATCCCATATTTCCACAAGTAAAAAAATTTATTAAAATCTTCCTCGTGAAGGGCTGGATGTAGTCTATGCTTTGGCAAAGCCAGATTGCGGTGATTTCCCCTTAATGATTCCTGGTGGTTCACATCCCTCTTGCCAAGGCTTTTCTGCAAATGTGTCCAGTTTTCCTAAAACCCTCCATGTTGGTTTGAGGAATGTGGTCCTTTTGGCAGGACCTGGTCCAAAGCCACTCAGAACGCCCTGGGCAAACGGGTCGGCTGCGTTGGTCATGCCCAGGCCAGGGCTTGGGTGCCACCGCGACCCAGAGATAGTCTGTCCGAATCGTCTGGTCCAATTTAATCGTCCTATTTAAATGAGGGCCCCAGAACACCCAGAAGTTACCGAACCAGTGGAAGCCCCAGATTGACGCTGTCAGAAAAACGCAGCGTTTTTAATTCTTTTCTAAACATTTCCCTCCTCTCTCGGACCTGCCTTATTTCAGTACGACGCTGGCATACGGGTTCTCCAGCTGACAGATCCCGGCTGGGTGTCAGGATCCCTGGAAAGCCATTACAGATCTGGAAACCCCATGCCAACCCGTCCCCTCCTCCCAGCCACAAGAGGTGACGCTACTTCTCCCCGCACCACAGCCGCCACATTAGGAAACTGCACTGAGTTGGCCAAATGAACCCCAATTTCCCATAATCAAAATTAAAATGTCCTTCAGATTAAAAAATTTTAAAAAGCCACTGTGAACGATTCTGAAATTACAGTTTACACTCCAGAAGTCCCCCGAGCACAGACACAGATTTTAAAAAATTCAACATGCTGAATCTTTATGTAGTTACCTCACTGACATCACTGGGATTGTGTACAAATTTCATAAATAAAATAAGACCAGCTGCTTCGGACCTATAGAGCTCGGGTCTGTAAACTTTTTTGACCGTATTCCCTAACAGTTAAAGAGAAATTTAAATACACAACCTCGGCATAAGCATATTTATAAATTATATTAATAAACTAATGTATTATGTACATTATCGAACAAGGAAAATAGATCAAAGTATGATGAGAATATATTTCTATAACTGAATGTAAATCTTCATATTTTCATGGGTTTTCCACTTTACACAGCCCTGCCAGCTGCGCATAGAGGTGCGTGCGGTAAACTCAGCTGAGAGAGAAAATTGAAACAAATGCAGGCGCTCTTGGGGTACCTGGGCCTTGCTTCTTAAGGCAGTCGGCCAGGCCAATAATGTCCCCAGGCTGAGCCACGTGGGGCACAGCGGAGCCTATGGCGCGGCGGCCGGCCCGACAGTCCCCGCCGGTGGCGGGTTCCCTCGCTAAGCAGAGCAGAGCTGTCAAAGCGAGCAAGGGTGGCGCCGAGAGTGGGAGAGCTGCTCAGCTTCAACCCCCGGCTCCAGCTCCCTACTGCTGGAGTCCAAGACCCGGAGGCAGCCATGAACAGCGAGGAGCAGTACTACGCAGCTACGCAGCTCTACAAGGACCCGTGCGCGTTCCAGCGGGGCTCCGCGCCAGAGTTCAGCGCCAGTCCCCCTGCATGCCTGTACATGGGCCGCCAGCCCCCGCCGCCGCCGCCCCCGTTCCCGGGGACCCTGGGCTCTCTGGAGCAGGGCAGCCCCCCCGACATCTCCCCATACGAGGTGCCTCCCCTCGCCGACGACTCCGCGGTGGCGCACCTCCACCACCTCCCAGCTCAGCTCACGCTCCCCCACCAGCCCGTCGGGCCCTTCCCGGACGGAGCTGAGCCAGGAGCCCTGGAGGAGCCCAGCCGAGTCCAGCTGCCTTTCCCGTGGATGAAGTCCACCAAGGCTCACGCGTGGAAAGGCCAGTGGGCAGGTAAGCCTGGCTCACCACCCTCTTTGTCCATACCCGCTCTCCAACGGGCTGCCCCTACCTCCAAACCTCCCCAGGACCCTCCACCCGTTCGTGTTCCCAGCCCCTATGGAGCACCCTGGATCAGACTAAACTAAATAGGGAGCCAACTAGGCCATCCTACAGAAGTGCCTTTCTGGTCTCATTTGGAGCGTCCTTTCCACTCAGCTCTCCCCCTGGAAACTTAAACCCTTCTTTCCCTGTACACTGAACTTCAACAGCTGCGCACCCGCAGAAAGCTAAAGCCTGGCAGAGCTCCCGGCTTCAGACCCTCTGGATCCTCCTCCCCTGGGGGATGCGCCTGGCCAGGACTCCGCGGAGTGAGCGTCAGAGAAGCCGAGCAGGGCTCTGGGATGCTTCCGACCCGGGCCTGGGCGCGCCTTTAGAGTCCTGGGCCCCCTCTGGCCCTGGGTGGCTTCATTACGGGAGTGCAGGCAGTCTCGGAGGCACCCCGTGGCTGCAGAAAGGCAGGGAAGACAAACTGCAGACAAGTTTGCAAAGGCGTTTGGCAGCCCGGGGTTGGGAGGCCGGAGGTGCGGGGGCGGGGGGGGGTACTCACCGCCAAACCCAGACCTGGCTGCTCAGCCTGGGAGACGAGCCGCTGTGAGAGGCGTCTGCGATGCTAGTGCACTTCTGAACACACGGAAACATTCCAAGGGGTCTCCCCCACGCTGCTTCCCAGCAAGTAAGTTTAAGGAAGGAGATGCCCTCCTTGCACAGCAGGTTCAGAGAGGCGTGAGCACTGGATCCCCGTGGCCCTAGGCGCCGGCGTGTCACCGAAGGTCGTCCCGGGAGCCCGGAGGCTGAGGCGGGGAGCGACCCCCAGGCCCCTTCCCCGCCGAGAGCTGGCCGCGGGTTCCGACCGCTACACAATGTTATCGCTTCCGTGCCGCGGCCACTTGTGGTCACACCTGCATGGCGCGTAGCTGACTTTTCTCTTCCTTCCAGGGGGGGGGGGGGGGGGGTGTAGGAGAAAGAGGCTCAGGAGGGGGCGCGCCCCCCCACCCCAGAGTCCCGTCTGCCCCCGATGCAGCCCGGCGAGCCTTGTGGGGTCCGGGCTCGCCCAGGGTCCCCGGGGCTCGCCTCTCCCGCTAGTTCACTTTCTCGCAAAGGCCGGGTGTGAGGAGCGGGCGGGCCCGGGTCTGGAGTCAGGACGGGGCCAAATTCGGCGGCAGTCATCTCCACGTAGGGCGCAGCCGGGGGAAAAGGGGCGCCCGACGCTCCCGGCGCCTCTGCGTACTTACGCCGCGCGCGCGCTCGGCCGCCGCCGGAGGCTGGGGAGTCTTGGGAAATGCGGGATTCTTGGGAGGCGGGAGGACCAGGTCCCTCCACCCAGGTTGGGGGCTGGGGACGCGCATTTCCGGCATTCCCGGCCCTCCTAGGGAGGCCCCACCTGAAACATTCTGAAGCCGGGTAACTTCCCCACCCTACCGTGCTCTGGTGGAGCTTGGGCTCGGGAACACCTAAGGAGCCAGACTGTAAAATCCGATGGAAAATTGGCGGCCTTGCCCCGGAATGGGGGGAACCTCGAAAGGCTGACCTCAGGTTGCAGAGTCAAGGAAGAGGCCTTTGCTAGAACCCTCTGACCTGCTACAAGTGCAGCCCAGAGGGAAGGGGCCAACCCCCTTTCCTGGACGCTGCCTGTCGGGTGCTCCTGCGTCCTATAGGTCCTCCCCGAAAACTCTGGAACGAGCAGAGCTTCAAGCGTCATGAACGTGCCTGCCCACTCCTAGTGGGGTTTCAAACCCCTGAGGAGAGTAACGTGATCAAAGGGCTTCCATTTGTAGTAAAGATATGAATACTAACAACAAAACTATAGGAACTTTTGAAAACGTCGACCTAAAAAATGAACCGCATAAGCCTCGCTAGCGGGCTTGTCCCTAAACCAGCCTCACCCTGCGCCTTACCGAAGGGCGCAGACGTGGGGACTCTTGACATCTTCTCCATACCACCACCAACAGCCTCCATCCCCGGCCAACTTGTCTTGAGCAGAGGTCTCCTGAGGTAGTGGACCCTGTCCCAGTGGCTCACAGCACCTCCGTGACCCCAGCAGAAGAGGGCTAGAGCCCCTAGAGATTGTGGATTGAATTTAAGAATCTCGGAGGGCCTTTTTAACTTTCCTGTAAGGCTCCCTTGCTTCTCTCCCGTGCCCAGAAAAGCTTAGAAGTGTAAGCCTCTGGAGATGCTCCCCAGGACTCTTCTGCTGACTCCGACCCAAGCCTCAGCCTTGGGTTCTGGGCACCTCCTTTTGGCCTGGGGGGAACCCTCCCACCCAAACAGATGGGTACTAGCTTTTCAATTCCCTAAATCTTCCTAAAAGTCACAAGAGAAATATCCCAGACTCTGTCCTAAGACAAGCAGACTTAGACATCTTCCTAGAATGTTAGAACTTAACTCGACCGCAGGGTGCAGTCGGTACCAAGCAGAAAAAGCAAAAAAGCTCAAGGCCTGGAGCACAGCGGCAAACAGCAGGTGTGCAGCAGTAATTTGGGTAATTTGCTGGGCCAGTGGTTCCTTCCTTGCCACCCGGGTTTGGAGCTGGAATGCCTGAGCCTTTGACTACCACTACCCCGTCCTCCATAGAGCTCTCGGTTGCCTGTGGGAACATGACCCCTGAGGCTCCCCGCTCACCTTTTCAGCATTTGGAGCTCAGGACTTAGATGTCAGGGCTGACAGGGTCATTCCTCAGGGCTCAGAATCGTTTTTTCGTTCTTCTCCAGGGCAGAGATCCAGCGGAGATGAAAACAATTACAGAGAATTATAGAGAATTTACCAGCTCTTGAGTTGGGGATGATTATGACAATATATATAGAGAGATAACGCATGGTTAGATGTGACAATATATGTCATAAGCTCAGCGTTCTTATTAGCTCAAGGTTTTTCACAGTGAGGGTTGCACTTATAAGTTGATCGTGAAATCAGTTACATGGGCCAAGATCTTTTTTAGAAAACAAAATAGTAAAAATCGTTTATAAAAGTATTTTTATATATTTAGTATTTACTATATATATTTACTATTTACTATTAATACATCTATTAATAGTAAACAATAGTTTATACCAAATACATAAATTTTAATATATAAATATATATTAATAATAATATATTTTAAAATATATATTTTTTAAAGATTTTATTTATTTATTTGACAGACAAGAGATCACAAGTAGGCAGAGAGGCAGGCAGAGAGAGAGGAAGAGAAGCAGGCTCCCTGCTGAGCAGAGAGCCTGATGCGGGGCTGGATCCCAGGACCCTGGGATCATGACCTGAGCCTAAGGCAGAGGCTTTAACCCACTGAGCCACCCAGGAGCCCCTATTAAAAATATATTAATAGTAAACTATTATTTACTATTATTAAGATATATTAATAGTAAATATTGAATATATAGTACATAGTATATAGCAAATATATCTAAATATTAATAGTAAACAGTAATTTACTATTAATATATTTTTATATATTTGCTATATACTATGTACTATATATATTACTATGTACTATGTATATATATATTAATAATAGTAAACAATAGTTTACTATTAGATAGTATAATATGTGGTAAAGGTTGGTTTTATGTCCAGAAATTTTTTTTAGTGTTCAATAATTTATCAGTTGCGTATGTCCTGAATTTTTTTTGTGTCAGTTCTATGTCAGTGTGCGAACCAGGTAGTGATCTGAAATGTATTCTTACTGTGGGTCATCATTAGAAAGCTGTGGTTTTTAAAATTCTTACATTAAATGCATTTGTTGCAATCCAGTACAATCAGTAGGTTTGTACAATCCAGTAGGTTTAGATATCTATTGTGTGTGCATTTAAATCACCATCAACCCAACACTGGCTAGGAGAACCCACTGAAAAGGCACTGGTTGACAGAGCCCAGGACTTGCTCACAGAGAGAGCCTGAGGGCACGCACAGCTTTGACCTCCAAGAAAAGGCGACCTTGGGCCCCTGGGTGGTTCAGATGGTTAAATGTCTGCCTTCAGCTCAGGTCATGATCCCAAGGTCCTCAAATGGAGCCCTTAGTCAGGCTCTCTGCTTGGTGGGGAACCTGCTTCTCCCTCTGCCTCTTACGCTCCCCCTGCTTGTGCTCTCCCTTTGTCAAATAAATAAATAAAATCTTAAGAAAAGAGAAAAAAAAACAAAGAAGAAAGGAAAGGAAAGAAAAAATAGGCAACCTTTACTAGAGAAGGGCTGCAGGAGCCCTGGCTGAGCTCTGGGATAGGAGGTTGCGCTTGGTGGTAGGAGTACCTGGGAGGACCAGGGCTCCCAGGATTGGGGCTGAAGTGTTCGTCTTCGGGGTTGGGGCGGGAGGGGCCAGGGGTCCAGGGACCACACTCACATGCCCTGTCGCCCACAGGCGGCGCCTATGTTGCAGAGCCAGAAGAAAACAAACGGACCCGTACTGCCTACACGCGTGCGCAGCTGCTGGAGCTGGAGAAGGAGTTCCTGTTCAATAAATACATCTCGAGGCCCCGCAGGGTGGAGCTGGCCGTCATGCTGAACTTGACCGAGAGACACATCAAGATCTGGTTCCAAAACCGCCGCATGAAATGGAAAAAGGAGGAGGACAAGAAGCGCAGCTGCGGGCCAGCGGCTGGGGGTGGCACAGATGCTGACCCGGAGCAGGACTGTGCAGTGACCTCCGGTGAGGAGCTGCTGGCGCTGCCGCCGTCGCTGCCCCCCGGTGGCGCTGTGCCGCCCGCTGTCCCCGCCGCCACCCGAGAAGGACGCCTGCCGCCTGGCCTTAGCACGTCACCACAGCCCTCCAGTGTCGTGCCCCTGCGACCTCAGGAACCCCGATGAGAGATGGGGGCTCCTCCTGGCCAGGCGGCTTCAACCACTGGGAAAGAGGGGGAGCAGTGGTCGGACCCTGGGTGTGGACAACCAGCCCTGGCCCCCTGGCTGTTCAAGGAGCCAGGAACTGCCTTGGCCAACCCGGATGGAAGGGGAGAACTCGAGTTCTCAGGCGCCTGTGCCAATTGGGGCGCCTTGGGGAGACACTGGCAGACCTTCTGGAAGGAGAAGAAAGGTTTTCTGTAATATCTGGGGCCTCTTCCGGTGATATTGTTGGACTGGCGACATCTGCTGCTGCTGCTGTGCAGGTCCTAGCACTCCAGAACCATGGACCTCTTTAGAGAAGCCAGCTCTTCAAAAGACCTCAGAAACTACAAGCTGGAATGCTCCCCAACACACTGCAAGCGGGCTAGATGGAGGGCCTTAATCTGTCCTGAAACAGAGCCAATTTTACTCAGGCTTCCACCTTAAAGCTTAGAAATAATTGAAAGGAAACTTCTAAGGTTTCAAAGACCTAGTGAAATTGATGCCCATGAAATAGAGTAATTCCTCCTCCACTTCCTCCTCCCTTTGTCTTCCTTTTCCTTTTTTAAAATTCTTTTTAGCGTAGCCTCATACTTCAGCAGCTCACCTCCTTCTGTCTGCATCTCTTTCCTCCAAAGAACAGGACATCTTGCCAGGGTGGCTTGGGCAACAGCAGAGCTGGAATATAAAGGCCTTGCCAGAGTCCCTGTACATCTAGAGGGCACTTAGGAGATGAGTCTAGAGCAAGGGATTTGGGGGGGAAGATACCCCCCACACACCCAGCCATCACTAAACTGAAGCTATTTGGAGCTTTCTTTTTAGGATGTGGATTTAGTTGCTAGTCTCAGGACAGGACTGGCTGTATGAAAGGCGAGCAGCATGGCCTGACCCACCTTGGGAACTACTCACAGAGACGGTATGATTCCTACACCTTTAGAAATTGTGAACATGTACGTGGTTGGGGAGTTTGAAAGCTGGTTATTTTTATTTAAAGTTATAAAATTACCTAAGACTTCTTTACAACCAGGTCTGTAATTTCCACATCAGTTGCTTGTTTCAGGGTCCGGGCCTTGTGTTCAGCTGATGTTTGTGGAAAACAATCAATAAATATGGATGACATGGAAAAGAAATGCAAACTGATTTCCCTCACTTTGTATCAGATTTTCTTGCCATGCACTGATTCCATTTCTTTCTTTCTTTCTTTCTTTCTTTCTTTCTTTCTTTCTTTCTTTCTTTCTTTCTCCTCCTCCTCCTCCTCCTCCTCC